AAAAAAAAAAAAAAACAGTCTAATGGCAGCTCGTTAGTAACATAGATTCAAATAATTATCCCGCTGTCTACGCTGAGCGGGAAGGGACCTTTTCTTCTTGTTCCCTTTCCCTTATTTTAAAAAATAATCATTACTATATTTTCAAATATGTTATATAAAATTTCTGATATATATAAAAAAAAAAATTAAATGTTTTTTTTTTAAAATATAATGTTTTTTTAAAAATATTCAATCAGATTAATAACATAATATTTTATCTTTAAAATATTTTTTTTTAATATTCAGATTATTAATATAATATTTTGAATAGTATAATTTAGTTTTTTTTATCCTCATGTACTTCAATAAAAAATAATATTTAATAAGTTATATTTTATTTTACATAAAATGAGGAGAGGAGAAGTTTAAAGAAAACAATTTATTTTATTTTATTTTATTTTATGATTTTTTTTTAAATATATAGAAATAATTTTTTATTTTGACCAAAAAAAATTAGCACTCCATATAGCCATTCAAAATCAATAAATAGAGGGGGAAAGGATATGATATTAAAGCATGATAACTAAAAAGTACCCCATCAAAATGCACCCCAGAAACACACGCACGAAAAAAAAAAAATACAGTCTAATGGCAGCTCGTTAGTAACATAGATTCAAATAATTATCCCGCTGTCTACGCTGAGCGGGAAGGGACCTTTTCTTCTTGTTCCCTTTCCCTGCAAACTAGGACTGAAATCACAGTTGGTTTTGTGATCTAGACTAGGTTTTCTTCTCTTCACCGTTCAAACACCTCCTTTTGTGTTTTAATTTTGTACCCAAATGAAAGGCGCGTGTTTAAATTTCGAAAACCCCATCGAAGATGCAGTTTCCAGGATCCGATTCGCCCCTCAGTCCAATAATCTCCTCATTTCCTCTTGGGATTCCGTCAGTGTTCGCCTCTCTTCTTTATTTTATTATTTTATTAAAAAAATTAGTTTTAGATTTTTTTTCGACATTGTTATATTTACATCTGTTTGATCGTGTAGAATCTTCGATTATACGACGTGGATAGCTCTCTGCTTAGATTAGAAGCTCCAGCTCCCTCACAAGCTGCTCTTCTCGACTGTTGTTTCCAGAGTGAGTCCGTTGCTTTTACGGCTGCGTCCGATGGTTCCATTACAAGGTTTGTTCTTGTTCTCGTTGGGACTCCAAAACCCAGCTTCAGCTTCAGTTTCGTTTTTATCTCCGACACTACATGTTTTATCTTTCTTTATTCTAATATTAATCAATTTATATTATTTATTACTTCTGATTCAATAATTGCTTCCAATACTATATCATAGCTTGCTTAATTTTTTGCATTTCAGTAGCATACGGTGCTAGTTTTTGGTACACATTGCTGGCCTCTTCTTTTAGCGAGTTGGCTATCAGGCTGGGGTTTTGTTTATTTGGGCTGATTTGCTCGATTATGCTTTGCTTACAATGGTTTTATTGGAGAGAATATGTTTGAATCATAACTGTGTGTTTTAGTTAATTTTGTTGTTTGAAGTGGTATGCTATGGTTTTCTTGCCTTATATCTTGACTCTTTATGGCCATATTTTTCTAGGTATGACTTGCACTCAGGAACTATTGATGCTATTGGAAATCATCAGGACATGGCAACATGTGTGGGATACTCAATTGAAACATGTAAGCTATCTTTACGCATCCTCACAAGTCACATGAACATGAATCTAACTTAGAACTTGACACATGTTTCTTTCTTTCTTCCTTCCTTTCTTTTTTGTTATTTTCTGCAAGACAACGAGATAGATGTGTACTCAACCTCACATGGTATATTTGGCAGTAAATGTAGCTTTCCCTACAATTCTAATAACGGGAAAACGTATGCATTTATATTCTTTTCATTAGAGATCTTTATATTTCTAAAGAGCACTATTAAATCCTGTCAACTGTTGCCTGAATAAGGTCGGTCATACATCTAGTTAACGTGTTGTTGGGACTACAGACAAATTTTGTGGATATCAAGGATAACCAAGTCTAAGAAAGCAAAAAATAAGACCTTTGCATGCATATTTATTGGGGTTTTTATCATTCACCCACCTCATACTAGAAACCTTGCATTCCATCCTTTAGATTTCCTTTTAGAGGTTAGGGTTTCTGTTCGTTGCATTATAATTTTTGATGTTATGATATATATGACCATGGCAATACAATGCAGTTCTGCTGTAAGATTTGGTCGCTAAGACATACAAAGAGCCCATTTTGCAGCCTATTTGCATGTGGATCTGCTATTTCCTTGTTGCATCATTGCTGTAGGGGATTCTGATGATTCTTTTCTATTTGGCTTTTATAGGCCAAGTGATTTCAGCTGGATTAGACAAGAAGGTAATGTCTTGGGATATGCGCTTGGCAAATCCTCTTGCACTCTTCAGAAATCTGGGTGCAGAAATTGATTCCATTTCTATCTCCGGTTTTGATTTGATGGTAGCTGTTGGAGCAGCAGTAAATATATATGACTTGCGGAACTATGAAAGAGCGGTGGATTTAAAAGAACCATCTATGGATGTAGGGATAAGTTGTGTTGCTTCAGTTCCATATACCAGAGGTACAACTATAATGATAATGTGAGCTTTATAATTCTGAGCATGCAGTTTCTGGTGGAAGATCTCTTTCGCAGGGAATGTCATTATTATTAGAACATATTGATTCCTTAAAAGTGAATCAACCAAACTGTAATTGTTTTGCTACCTATCTGGTGTGTGGTTGCTTGTAGCTCTTATGGTATGAAGGTTTTAATCATCTTTATCCATTCAAAATGACATTATATTCCTTTTCTTTCTTCCGATCCCCCTGTCCTCCCTTTCAATCTTTTGAATGTGTTTTTTTCTTTTGCAGGATATGCAATTGGGTTGATAGATGGACGTGTAGCGCTGGAGATTTCAAATCCATTAAATTCGAATTCCACTGGGTGAGTCTTTTGGTTTCAAGCATGCTTCATTTGTTAAAGATCTGATATTGGTAGTATATTTTCAAGTTTAATCTTTGTATTCTTTGTTTTCTAGTGGTATTTTTGTTTTTCTTTGTCCCTCTGCTAAAGGTTTGAGTCTGTTTTCTAGTGGTATTTTTGTTTTTCTTTTTCTTTGTCCCACTGCTAAAGGTTTGAGTAGAGTAGCTCCTCAGAATGTAGAGGAATTTTCCTTTTACTCTCTAAAGATTTTGACCAAGACTAAACTTAATGCCATTCCACATTCTCATCACCCAAGCTTAGGACCAAGGTCAAGGACAATTCTGCATTTGTGACAGACAAGTTGTATAATACAAGAGGCATCCCAGCGATCATGGGATATGTCCAACTAGATTGCCAAGGACAGACAAGTTGTATAATACAAGAGGCATCCCAGCGATCATGGGATATGCCCAACTAGATTCTAGAACTCGATAAGCAGGATGGAATTGCATCCTTTTTGTTATTAAGTTTTAAATCTACAAACTTTTATGGTTGTCCTTTAGCAAAGAGATTTAATCTCTTTTTTCTTTTTTTCTTTTTCGTTTCTTCACATGCATGTGCACTAGACTACATATACTTCTGTGGCATCACTGACACCTCTCTAGAAGTTGAATTTAAGTTTCTGGTATTGAGATATTAATGCTTCAACATTGTATACGGTTTTTACATGGATAACACAAGTTTCATAATTTGTTATCAAACTTTCCATATTGCTCTTAGTACCCTGGGTATTTCAATCTGACCATTGTGTTATATGTTTGCTTCCATACTGCAGAATCAAATATCTGTGCTGGAGCGTTTGTTGTGTTCTATTTGCTATTGTCTGTGCAAGTGCATATTTATATGTTGATCTGAACAATTTGCTAATAATCTTGCAATGCGTTGCTCTTTTCAAAATCAACCGCAGATACACTTTTCGGTGTCACCCTACGACAAAGGATGGAACGGCACATCTTGTGTCAGTTAATGACATAGTTTTCAATCCACTGTAAGTACAGTCCAGTCAATTGTTTGCCATCATGTGCTTTGTGAAACTTGAATTGATGGGTATTTTTGATTTAGCATTGGTGGTACTTTTGTTACTGGCGATAATGAAGGCTATGTTACCGCGTGGGATGCTAAAAGTAAAAGAAGATTACACGAGGTATATTCCCATCTGATTACAACAGTTAGCTGCATGCACTTTGATTTCCTTTTCAATAATACTTCTAAATACTTGTAAGTGGTTCGTTCCTTTTCTTGTTTTCAGTTTCCTAGATATCCAAATAGTGTGGCATCCTTATCATACAACCATGTGGGGCAACTTCTAGCTGTTGTATCAAGCTACACATATCAAGAAGCTAATGAAAGGTATGTCACTCCAGTTGCTAACTCCTTCGTGATTTTGTTCTACCATACTCTTCTTAAATCTTGACAGTACAATTTCTCTTCAGCACCTACATTCGATGATTTTGTGTTACATTGTTTTCATTGGTGTCATTTGGTTTTCCGTAACATAAAGATGCATCTGTTCACTTTTGTCCATATAAAGATCGATTGGCAGCCTCCACCATCAAATCTAGATTTTTGCATGAATTGTCCTTTCTACTCCATCATTGATGTTTTTCTCCGTGCTGTTAAATTTCAACTTTTCGTTCTAGTAGAACGCTGCAGACTGCTTTTTTGGAAAAAAAATTGATATTGTTTTGTTTTTAATTAAAATTTTTTATCAAAAAGTAAAAATTTGGTGCATGTGCATAATCTGTTTCACTTCATGGAGGTTAAATTATTTTTATGATAAGGCGGGAACAAAGTGTTCTTGACAAGCAAAAAACTCTTTTTTTCTTCAATCATTTGTTGATACACCACCGTGTCGGGCTAGCAATTTTTTGCTTATGGGTTTTTTGAATTTAAAACTAACAATATAAATATTTTATTCTTATTGAATATTCATGAACAATTTTTTTTAAAAAAAATTGTATATTAAATTTATATATAATTTATTCAACAATTAGTTATTAATATCATCATAAAAAAATCTAATTTTACTTGACAGTTCAGGTTCCCTTGAGCGTGAAAGGACAAGTCAGGCCTCGTGCAAGTCTTAAAAAAAAAAAAAAAAAAAGGCACATTGAATGTTATTCTTTGCAAAAAGTGCTGGTAGTGGTTGAAAAATTACGGCCCAAGTATTTTAGGTTAAATATCAAAATTTCAATTTTTTTTTCACGTAAAACACATTTTAGATATCTTTATAATTCTATTTTCAATTCTAAAATACGTTCTAGCTAATTTAAAAATTTAAAATTAAATCAAAAACACTTTTTTCAAATTTTAATTTATCTTTTTCAGTATTATAGAAAGTTCAAACTATCTTCATCGAATCCCTCTCTTTAAAATAAATCTAGTGACACTAAAATTAACGTTTTCTGGCCGGCCAAAATCTATCTGTTAAGTGAAAAAATTAAAATATACAAAAGAAAAATGTCATGATTGAAATACAAACTTTGTTAATTATAAGAAACAAAATGTAAAAAAAAAAAAAAGAAGCTATCTCAACAGTGCAAAAGTAAACGGACAGTGTTTTAGGAATGTGTGAACAATGTTTAGATATATGGTGCAAATTATTCTGTTTTTTTTTATTGTTAATTGTTAATATTTTTGTCTTTGCTGCTTGTATCTTCATTTTTCTGCATTATATGATGGAAGAAAACCGACAACGGTCTCTTATTTGATTATGGCACTGTGTTGCCTAATACGTGTTGATCAAATCGCTTGACCATGCATATTTCTCCATGTGACATTTCCATGACAGGGAGGTGCCCGTGCCCCCTCAAATATTCATACAGAAAATGGAAGACAGCTATGTTGGATTCTCTTCTGAAGTTTCAAATGGGGAATGAATATTCGTATGCTTGGTAAAGAAGGTAATAGATCTAATTTAGAAGATAAATCTGCTCTGTAGTTCTTGCTTAGTTGCTTATAACAGTGCAATTTGCTGCCCAGGTATTAATAATGGAGCTTGCTCCAAACTGCAAAATGCGGGGGAGAAGGTGCAAAGCATTTTGTTTTGGTTCTTCCATGTAAGAAATTCCTTGTACCTGTAACATATACCACTCACTTCAATGGTTATCCTGTCCGGCTTTAATAAAGACGCCGTTTGGTCATGGACCCTTTTCCAATTCTGCACTTTTCTCCTCTTCTTTTTCTGCTTTCGAAGGGACCAGGATATTCATAAAGAAGGATTTGTTTCTGTCAAGTGAAGCGTGTTGCCTCGTGCCTGGTACTGAGTATTCAATGAAAAGAACTGGCTGTTAGAAGTACGTGTCGGGGTTATATTTCTTATGAATTTTCCACATAATCAAGGTCAAACTTAAAAACCAAGTTGCCTGATGGGGACCTGAGCGTCCATGTGTTTTTTTTTTTTTTTTAAGTTATCTCGTAAGTTTTTCATAAACCAATTTCCATTTTTATAATATAAAACATAAATTCTCCTACGGCGACCGAGCATGGAATACAAATTTTGAGAATTTTGATATTTTTTAGATTTTTTTTAGTGAAACGAATTACTTAATACATTTTAAAAAGTTGGGGTGTTGACTTATTCTTGCTTTTTTTTTTATCCTTTAATATTTTCTTAATTTTATAATTATTGTATTAAATATTTTAATTTATTTTATATAAGTTTATTCTAGTCTCAAATAAATTAGATATTTAATTTATACTTAATTTTATAAACATTTAGTTTTGTTATTATATATTTAAGTATAGAAAATTTTTAAAATAAATAAATATATGAAATTATTAAACCTCATAAAATATATCACATGAATTTCAAAATTAATGGATGAAGTAAAAAGTTTTTGGCAATATAATATATCCATGTCTTAATAACCATTTCAAAATTAATGGATGAAGTAAAAAGTTCTTGGCAATATAATATATCCATGTCTTAACAGCCAAAAAAACAAAAAACAAAAAAGAAGTAGAAATAGCGATCCTAATATTGTTTTTAAAGTCAAAATATTTTTTATTAGTTATTTAAGTTATTTTTTAATAAATTAAATAAATTAAATCATATCAGAATAACTTTTACAAGATTTAGTTTTGAGGGCTTGTTTGGAGAATGCAGTCCATGTTAATTTTTAGAGTATTTTTTGTTTAAAAATATATGAAAATAATAAATACTTTTTTTGCTTTTTAAAAATTAACACATTGAAATATTTTTTTATTTTTAAAAATTAACACATCAAAACAACTAAAACATATTCAAAATAATTAATGTAAAGTTAAAAAAATTCGGTTGGATCACAATAATAAAGAAAAATTAAATTCAAATTAGACAAAAAAAACCAATTAAAAAAATTTCAAAATTAATCTTTTAAACTGATTTATTAATAATATCAAATATTTTCTTCCAATCTATCAAAAACACGGCTAAATCACATTAACAAATAAAAACTAAATTCAAATTAGATAAAAAAACACCAATCAAAAAGTTGCAAGATTAATCTATTAAAGTTAAATATATTAATAATATCAAATAATTTCTTCCACCCTGCGTATTTCTTTAATGTTGGAAAAGAAAAAATCAAGTGGCAGCATGGCTCAACACTATAAACTAAACTAGTTTGTAATGCGGATAAAAGAAACCGTGGCGACAACGCAAGGGGTCGGCAAGGTCAAATTTTGTGGTTACGTGGCAAACTAGTTTATGCTTTCAGGAAAGTGGGGGAATCTCTCCTAGTAAGGAGGACACGTGGTAGAACATAATCGTGCATGTGTGCTTTAGTCAAGAACTTTACGCAAACACTTATCCCAAACAGCTTCAGCACAAGCAGCCCACGTGCCGAACTGCGTCCTAATAACGCCTTAGGCCAAAAATATATTTCATCGAATCCTTCACCGTCCATCTCTTAAATCCAATGATCTAAACTCACTCAAAATAAGTGGTTTTACAAAAAAGCCCAACTATTAGAAACCCTAAAGACCCTCACTTTTAAATAACGCACCCATATAAATAGCATAAATTGGTAAAATCTCTGCCCTCGTGTACTCTGTTTTTTTTTTATTATTATTGTTGGTGTTTTCTAGTTCTCTTGATCAGTCGCCGCCATGTCTGACGAGGAGCATCACTTCGAGTCAAAGGCCGATGCCGGAGCTTCAAAAACTTACCCTCAGCAAGCTGGTACCATTCGCAAGAATGGTTACATAGTCATCAAGAATCGCCCTTGCAAGGTCAAGTTTCACTATCAATCTAAATTTTAGATCTGCTTGAATCTTTTTGTTTTCATTTTTATCTTTGTGTTCAGTTTTGTTCCAGAATATGCATGCCTTTTATGAATGTCGGATCAGAATTGATTTAATTATTTTTATGGAATTGATTTGGTTATGGATAGTCAGGGTTTAAAGCTTACTTACAGTCATGTTCAGTGTGTTAGTTGCTGTTGATAACTTTAAAAAAGTAAGAGGAAAAATAAATAAATAATTTAGATTTGATACTAAACTGTTCAGAAAATGTAAAAGTTTGTTGAATAATAACATGTCTATAGGCAGAATCTAATGCTGATGGTAATTTTGCAAGCATGATCGAAATAGCCATTGCTCTACTCGTTTTGTGAAGGTCAATCTCAGAATACTTTGATTAATTATAAATAAAATATTAGGATAATTTGATTAATTATAAATATGAAACAAGTCATGAACTCGGATGGAAATCCTACTTGTCAGGTGTAAAGCCGTTGCTCAATTTTTTTATTTTGTAAAGGTAAAATTTTAGGATAGTTTGATTAATTATAAAAATGAAATAAGTTATGAACTGGATGAACTTCTGCTTGTGACGTGGAAATTGTTATTGATTCTGTAATCAGATAGGTTATTTGTTGTGAATGCGTGTTTGTTTGTTTGTTTATCATGTGTATAATTCATTTAGTGATGTTGAGCTTTGTTAACCCATGTTGATCATCCTATTGGTTCTTCAGAGATTGCTTTCCCCTTTTTAAAAAAACTTTTGGGTTTTGTATATCACTTATTAAGGACATGCTTTTAATTTTCTTTTACAGGTGGTGGAGGTTTCGACCTCCAAAACTGGCAAGCATGGCCATGCTAAATGTCACTTTGTTGGGATTGATATTTTCAATGGAAAAAAGCTTGAAGATATTGTTCCTTCTTCCCACAACTGTGATGTATGCAGTTTTTTTATCTAATTTATTTTACATCAATGAGTTATTTATCACTGAAGCTTTTTCATGATTTAAATGTCTCTTTCCATTGCATTGTAGGTTCCCCACGTCACCCGTACTGACTACCAGCTGATTGATATCTCTGAGGATGGATTTGTTCGTTCATTGCTCTTTCACTTTTTTTAAAACTAGGCTAATTGGACTTTTTTCTAATCTGTTTTTAAAATTTCAGGTGAGCTTACTGACTGAGAATGGCAATACTAAGGATGACCTGAGACTCCCAACTGATGACAGTCTCCTCACTCAGGTTAGTTGACACTTTGTTCTCCCTGGTGAATTCGATTAGGCAACAAGATTGTGCTGCCTCTCAGGATTTTAACTTTTTGGTTTTGTGGTCGCTTAATCTGCTTGTGTATTTTGTGCTTTGAAATTGGATGGATTTTTGTAATGCAGCACAGGTCATGTGCTGGATGTATAAAAATCTTACAGTGCCCTTAAACTCTGGCTTTGCGCTTCAATTTTTGTAGTGTAGTTTTCAATCTATAGGAGATAAGTCCGATTCAGTCTATTTCAGAAAAGCCATGAACCTCTGTTATACAGAATCTAGTTGGTCTGTTTTTCTCTTTGTTATGCAGATTAAGGATGGATTTGGTGAGGGGAAAGATCTTGTTGTGACGGTGATGTCTTCTATGGGAGAGGAGCAGATCGGCGCCCTCAAGGACATTGGTCCCAAGTAATCTGTGCCTGGCTGCAGGCAGCGCATGCCCAAGGTAATATGTGGGTTGACTGCTGATAGTTGTAGTTTTAGCAAGGGTTTTTATGTGGGTTTGAGAACTGGGCCCATTTAAGTAACGTTCTGCACCAGATGCGGGCTTATATGAAGACTTGCCATTATTTAAGTGGCTTTTTATTTGTAATGAATGATATTCTTGTGGTTCTTGGTTTGGAGAAAGTTTGTTCTGCCATTAAGACTGTATACAACATCTTGGCACCTTTGGTGGTTTCAAACAATTTACAGTTTTTATTTCCTTGGAGGTTCCAGTTCCTTTCCTCATCATCGTTCCTTGTGTTTGCCCGTCGATATTAATGTTATGGTTACTTGTGTTTTGGTAAGCGAACTCTTTACTTGTTTGTGTTAGGTTAGAGCCGAACCGATGGAAGAGAATTGATATTCTTCTTGAAAATTTGGTTCTTCCACGTGTTTGCCGAAGGATTCACGCTGGTTGAATCATAATTAATAATTTTATGACAGCGAACTATTTAGCAAAATGGAATGCCGTTTTCCGAACGGGTTCTGGCTTTCGTCATGTTTTTTCATGGCTACAATCTGATTTAAAATGTCCACTGTCGAAAGTAGCATACAATTGAATTCTCGAGAGATGTGTATGAATCCTCGTAGAGGATCCAATAATCGAGCATTTGTTGTTGCCTGGTTCGGAATCCTGACGAGATATGACCAGGGCAATTCTTCAAAAATTCCTTTCAAGGAATCCTGTTGAGGTTGGTCTTAAAAGTGTATTATCACTTTTTTGACATTTTGCGAGACACGAGATTTCCTAGGTCCTTTTGCTCAAGCTTCGGTGCCCCTGACCAAAGTCTCCAAATTCATCAGGTACTATTTCCTTAGCCAACTAATCTAATGGCAGTCCCCAGCCGATCTTTATGAGAGGAAATGGGGTCATAAAGAATTTCTTTTAACTTCTATGGAGATAAAAGATTCATCATTTATTAAACACTCACATTAACATTATAAAAAAGCGTAACATCAGATATTAACTCCAGTAAGATGATATTTAGAAATGTGATGATAATTATTTTTAAAAATATTTTTTATATAAAATATATTAAAATAATATTTTTTATTTTTAAAAAAAATTACTTTTAATATCAGAATATCAAAACAATAAAAAAAATACTGTAAAAAATAATTTGAAGTATTTTCAAAAATATAATTTCAATCACTTTTCTAACTGTCAATAAATGCAACCAATACTCGTAGAGTGAAGCATAGAAAGGACAGTCAACACGGACCATTGTTGACAAAGATCATTCGAAATGTCCAGTGTTCAGTAGTACAGCTTTTTTGTATCTAAAAAAAAAAAATCGAATCATCACAACCCAGCAACCATAGCAAGAGCAGATGGAAAACAAATGGCCTACCAGTGAATTGTTTTCAACTGGTTGAAGCGGATGGTTAGGGTGATAATTTATCGGTTTCCGACAAGGAAGAGGTAAGAAGAACCGGTCAAGAGTGGTCATGGACATAAAACCCTAAAGTTCAGGAATTGTTTAGAGGCTGGCCCAAATCAGTTAGGTATCGTTTGCACACAGAAAGATTGAATATTCCCTACAGCGCATGATGCAATCTATGGCTGTGGGCCTGTCTCCATGGGCCATATACTTCTACATTTCAACATGACCCCTATTCTCCGAGTTGCCAACTCGTCAAGAAATTTCTTTTAGATGTCGATCATCGTGTGGTAAATTCGTCCAAGAGCTTCATGCTATGTAGCAAGATTCAAGAAAAAGTGTTAGATTCCCAGATGTTTGTATCGAACCAAAGTACAGAGTATCTTCCATGCCTTCCCCAGCCAAGCTTTTCGAGGCTTGAACTGGACTCTTACATGTTTCGAGGGGGGGAAGACATCGTTTCTGTGTGTATTCTTGTTTGACAATTAAAAATCACCTGAAATTATTTCAAATGGCTTAAAATTGCATTCCTATCTCATCTAAACGTGAAGCAGGAGAATAGTGATGAAAAAGAAAAAAAAGATTGAGAAACCAAGAACTTTATTTGGATAATAACTTGTGCAAAAAAAGAAACAACAATATTTTTTGCCTGGTGAAATCTTTCAAGGTGGGTGCACTTGAAGCTCCGATTTATTTCAAATGTCAATGCTAGCTTTGTTAATTACTATTTAAAAATCAAAATAGAAGAGTTGAAACCTATCAAATTTAGGCCTTCTTTTTTTTTTAAAAAAAAGTGCTCTGTTCTCATTACCATAATTCTTACCAGGTACCTAGGTAAAGCACGGCACAAGGCAGCCCACTTCGACATGAGTTCTCCCTTTCAAAACCAATGGCATTAACAGTGGCATCCGTCCTCTAATGCAGGTTTGTGTCTTGTAAAAAAATACATGACATGTCAGAATCAAGGAAAAACATTAACTTAATATATTTTTAAATAAAACTTACTTTTAGAACACATGAAGAAGCAAAAACTATAACAATTCCAGGCACTTGCGAAATTTCTCCCACGTTCAATCGTTACCATCTCTGTGGATTTTATTAAAATAGCCCCCAGGCAGGTCCTTGCTAAAAATAAAACAAAATAAATATGAATGGGGATGGGGACGGGGACGGGGACGGGGACGGTCTCTCTCTCTCTCTCTCTCTCCAGCCAGAGCGTGGCCCTATATGCTTTGCACGAACCCATTTGCCATTAGCCATCAACATCGGCAACTGAAAACAATAATGTCTGTATGACAACTTGCATGCCAGCCCGCACAGCAGATATACAGATCAACAACATATTCCACACGCCGAGGCACAAGGAGGGAGAAGCAGCACCACCTGCCCCTTTTTGTCCTAGCACCAATTTTTCAAATAATGTGTCTTGCAACCTCATTCCATGATGCCTCTCTGGGGTTGGAAAAAATAAAATCCTTGGTGGCAGTTACAAAAGCTTATGATTCCTTTCTATTTTTCACTGAGCATACGATAAACAATCACTCTGTATCTTAAATATATGTAAAAAAAAATTAAGAAATTCAATTTGTAGTTTTGCTAAAAATCTTTCTTTCACCTTTAGCCGGTTCTGTAAGTTTGCCTTCATGGTTTGGGTATAATATTATAAAATGACAGATGCACTCGTTGTCACAACAAGACCTCTGTCTCGGGATTCTGTGGATGTCATTACAGACTAGCCCCTGATGCGGACAAATATTGAGGAAAAATCTTTTTGGGCAAGAACCACAAGTTGTGTTATCTCTTGGATCTTGACTTTCAGCACAATATAGCTTCGACTTGACATGAACGAGAAACCTGTTCTGGCACTGGGAAGACGCCGTTTGCTCCTCCCTGTAAAGCATCGAAGAACTAGCGAATTCTCGGAGGAAGTCCTTGCAAAGGTAATCTAAAGTAGCCGTGTGAAATATTTTGTAGGAAATAATATAAATAATAAATTAAGGTATTATTTAAGAGTTTAAGTTTTTAAATTGGGATGATTATTTGATATAATATTATAATTTTATTGATTAAATAATTATATTTGAATCTCATTGTTCTAATTAATTAATAGCAAATGATAGAAAAATGTATTAAAGAGTAATATAAATTATATTTTGAATTTTTTTTTTAAATAATTAAGTTTTTTTGTTGAGATGAAAAATTAATAATTATATTTATTAAATAATATTTATTTATTGTTGTGGTATAAAAAAAAGATAAAGAAACGGTTACAAGAAAAATGAATAACGGTACACAAAACTTGCATTTCTATTTTTCATTTCACCGTCTCTTTTATTATAAACAACAAATAAACACTATTCAATAAAGAATAATAATAATAAGTAAAGAGATTATATATTCTCTTGCGCCCTCTACAATTTGAAAAAAAAAATATAAACAGTAGAAAGACTCGTAACTCGCACGGTATTGATTTGTTTTTGAAAAGAATATAATGAAATTTAAACAAAGAAAGGTAATACAAAACTCTATTCAAGTGATGGCAACCAATTTCTCTTATATATCACAAATATAATGTGTGCAAGTCATAGTTATGATAGAATCTAATAGCAGCCGCAATGCTGCCCATTGCTTCATGTACAATCCAACCCCGGGATTCAATATATAATAGTCATAATTTAGAGGTAGGTCAGCTAATTAGATTTTAAATTTATTTTTAAAATTTTATTAAATTTAAATATTATAAATTTTAAAATTACTATAAATTTATATAATTATTAATTTTATACATGTAAGATAGTTTAAACATTAAAGATATATATATATATATAAAAAAAAGGAAGCAGCGCTAACCTCCCTTGAAACAAGATTAAAAAAGAGCAGAAAAGAGTGGAAACTGGCCAGCAATCATAGAGAGATCTATTCCACGGTTCAATTCCACTGTCACTGCATGCATCCTGGTATGGGCATAAACAAACATGCTTCTCCCTCCTGCTACTCTCTTTTAAAATCGATTAGACACCAGACTCCAAAGCTCTATCCTCCAATGAGCACTCATGTCAATCCAGTAGTCGTCGGGGACACAACAGTGATTTCACCTCCTTTCAATGAAGTCCCTGTCCCCGTGAGTAAACTATCTGTAGCTATTTGCTATAAAACATTAAAAATAATATTCTTTAAACAGATACACTTTAAAGAAAGGCTGGAGACTGATTCATTAATCGTGCGTGTGCATGAATCAACTGGGATTATAGCAGAGTGTAAACTTGCAAGATCATGAAGGCTGGAGACTGGTTCATGATTCCTTCACCCGTAAGAAAAAGACAGAAACGTCCTTTTAGCTCTATTAAATTCGTTTTCTTCTTCTCGTACCAGCAGCTAGCGTGGACTTTCTCAATCTTTTATTACTTTTCAAATCCACCAACAGCCAAAGAAACAATACAAACCGAAACTAACAAACTGGACACAAACAAACACACGGAAAACAAAACTATAATCGAATGGCTGATGAAAAGGAGCATCAGCAGCCACAACAGCAGCAGCCATCTTCCCGCCCGATCACCATAACACTCCCTCCACGTTCCTTCACCGAAACTTTCTTGTCCAGCGGGCCTCCTGGTTCCATGGGCTTCAGTCCAGGTCCTATGACTCTTCTCTCTGGGTTCTTCTCCGACTCCGACGACTGCAAGTCCTTCTCTCAGCTTCTTGCCGGCGCCACGGCCTCCCCTAATTTCAAACCAACCGATGACAAGAGCTCCTCCGGGGACTTTAGCAGGCCGGGAAACTTGTCGATCGTCCCTCCTTCGCCGATGTTCACGATGCCGCTGGGGCTCTGTCCGGTGGCT